AAGAATTGAGGCAGTTCTGAAGGCAAAAGGGGGTCCAACCCGTTACTAGCATGGGGTACCTAATAAAGTGGCCGGTGAGTGTAGTTGGGTCTGTTCAGCTACTTTATCATTACCTTTTCTAACATAGAAATTATTTATAGATTCGTGCTTCAATAGTCCTTTTGTTTTTCAGCTTATCTCTCATTCAACCCCTATTCAGCTTCGACAGATGTCTGCTAACACTGAGCCACGTCCTGCTGGAGGTATCTTCCTGTTAAAACTGAGTTTTTTCTCTCCACTGTTGTTGCATGCATGCTTCTCAGTGACAGACGGATCATTGTAAAGTCATCAACAACATAAAGGCTAATGTCTACAGTCATCACACGCTTACCCAGGAGGAGCAAATCCTGCAAAGCTGTTTTTCCTTAGATAGATCAATTTTAACCAATCTGTCTGTCTGTCTGATCTGTCTCTTTAAATGCCTTTGTGGACATTAAACAGGATGTCTTTTAACAAAGGCTAACTAACAGTTTTCCTGCCAAAAAATCCTCAAAGCTCTTTATCTCTGCAGCTCATGCAGAGATACAGTCGACTTCTTTGATACATCTTTAAATAATGATGCTGCGTCAAATTAAGTGGATGTTGCTTTTTTTTCCTTCCATCTCATGTCTGTGCTTTCTGATTTCCTTCCATTTTATAAGAGGGATAGGGACCTGTTTAGGATGCAGAATGACCATCAAGGGTTAACCGCTTAGCAGGAATCTGGTACTAAAATATTTGTAGGATAATCAACTCTGCAAACGGAAAAGAAAAAACAACCTGAGCACTAATTGGGTGTTTAAACGAGGCAGGGGAGCTTTCAGCAGGTGAGATCCTCTCTTCACTGCCCTCCTCTCTGAGTATCCTTCCCACTGGGAGGGGAGGCGGGGGTCTCACCCTGTGCTTTATCCCTCAGCCAATCATCATCTCTTATAAATGAAACCCTACTGGAGGTACCATGCCAGTGAACGCTAATTATGCTCAGCAGGGGAAGTTGGCTGCAATTAGGCCACATGCTAAAACCTTTGCTTGTCCAACCTTCTACCTCACAGAAGGCTTTTCAGGCTTTCGTCCTGAGCAGAAACAGCCGGCTCTTTAATTTGTGTTTGTGAGCAGGTGGGGGGACGAGGTGGGGTCTTGTTGCGCTGGGGGTTGGTTAGTTCAGGGGGTCCGGCCTCTGGTATTTAACAGTCTTTTGATTAGAATAAATCAGAGCACTTTCATCTCAGTAAAGGCTGCAGAGATCTAAAGGGCAGCAGCATTTCAGCTTTTCCAGCTATGCTAGGGAGGGAAATCATTTGAACCTTGCACTGCATGGGTCCCTGTTGGCTAAGTGGAAGTCGAGGCTGTGGTAAACACCAAATTAACTTCGCATTACCTTCGTTTTGCAAATATGAACATATTAGTTATACAGTAATAAGGGAGTTTCGTTTTATTAATGTAACTTTGTTTACAAAAAAATGCATTAGGAAGAATTCCATGGACACAAAAAACATTTGTAGAATCTTTTTTTTATTTGATTTCCAGTCGGAGATGCAGGTTTGCATCTGTTTGCATAGGTTGTGTGAAGATAAAACATGCCTTTGGATAGAGTGGATTTAATGGGGTTAATAAATTACCATAATATTGTAAAACAGACCAATGACTTTACATTTATAAGCGCGATCCAGCTTGCAGTTTCACATATTACTTTTTGTTAGTTTTACATGAACATTTTTACAATCACATGTAATCTTTACAATCATTTGTGTGTCATTAATCCATATGTATGACTTAATACAGAAAGGACTATAAATAAGAAAGAAAAAATCTGATTGTCAGCATTGAAATGATTGGAATGAAATGGGTACCTTAAACTTGAATTCTCCAATCCAACGGTTTCAAAAGTGACATCATAACTTTTAATAATGGCTTCAAGCTGACAAACAACATGAAGTTTGAAATAAAATGTGAAAAGTCCAGTTAACTTTAAAAAAAATCATCATTCATCCATCTAAGCATCTACTTACAGAATAGATGTAAGATTTTCTGAGGTTACCATGACAACAGCTGAATACTATTACATTTCTTATTATCGATCGCTTGTAAAAAGGTCACAATGCTGTTTTTTTCCCACGTTTTCTTAATATAAGACATTCATAGTTGACAATGATCTGTAAACATTTTATTATTTTTAATTTATAAATAGCTCAAATCGTTTCCATTCACATCAAGCATTATAAAATGAAATAAAAAATAAGAAATATTCACAGCTCTGGCGGTTTCATGTGGATAAAGCAGACTTCTACTGAGGCATAAATCCTTCAGATTAAATCTTTAGTGGAAACACACAATCAAGTATTTGTCCTAATCCACTGTACTGCAGATTTGGAATAAAAACAGTAGAAGGCAGTTCCAGTTCTGGATGGAAGAGGCGATCCCAGTGTCTTCCTGAGTTTTCAGTCTAAAGTCTAGAAAGATGAGGGGAAAAATAAGAAGCTGTTAGGAGTTTTAACGATATAAACATCAATAAATATCCCTGACTTCCAAAAGCGTTCCAACTTCTTCCTCTTAATTATGTTACTTTACTATTGCAAAGCTAATATACATGTACAAATTGATATAGCGCCACCTTTGGAGAGCATTATTGGCAGAACAGATTTTAATCACATTTAAATGTTGACTTCTCTGTTTCCATCAGTTATTTTTGGAGGTTTCATATCATTTTAACTCACTGAAATATATTTTTTTTTGTAACCAGTAATAAAATTGATAGAACATATCTTTGATTTAGTTTGAGATTATGATCTAACAAAACTCCCAATACGTAAACCTTCTTCGAACTTCGTGTCACTGCAGTATTTTTTGGGTAATTAGACAATCCCAGATATCTGTAATGGCGTTCTACTCAACCACAACGTTTCTTACAGAATTAGAAATAATAAGCGGAGTCTAAAAATAACCAACTTTCAATTTCCAATCAAACTCTTTTCATAAACTTTGTCTTCTATCAGTTATTTAACACCAATTCCCAATTTTCTTCTAATTTCAATGCATTCTGGGTGATATAAAGTGGGAGCTTCTAAATCAGAAACATGTCTTTTAGTGGATATTTTCTTTTCTATAAGAAAATTGAAATATTGTTCTATATCATTTAGATCATAATTCACTGTTTAACTTTGTGATTAATAATTTAATGTCTAATTTGGATACATATATACATATCCATTGTAGGAAGGTCAAATTACTATGGAAGCGTATTGCATTCACCAAAGGAAAAAAAATCTGACAGATTATCTCATTATTACAAGATCAGTATCTCATAATTATGAGATAATATTTCATATTTAGGCGATCAGGAAGGACAGTGATTGCTGAGCTACGCTACATGAAACGTGAACAATGAGTCGGTTGTTGGATTTAATATGATTTATTTTCTTTTAGATGTGCAACACTGAGAAATACTGAATTTCCTCGATATGGATGGAATTAGTTTTAGTTTGTCAGCATTGTGCAGACACATTAAGTGTTTAGGATTGTTTAGGCGAAAAAGCTCCCTCTACTCTGACTTGCAGGAAATGGCACTGTTCCTGCAGGAGGATTTAAATTAAATTACTGCATCTGAAATGCATTCCAGCTGGCTTGGTGGTTTCCCAAAGAACTCTTCAGTACCTGCTAAAAAATCCTCAAGGAGTACAGCTGAGGCTTCATGATCATTTAAAACAATGTCTCTACAGAAACCCAGGTCCCAGTTTAATGTGGCATATCGATTCATATGACAAACTAAATCTATATGGAATCTGTGTTAACGGAGCTGTTGATAGATTTTCCTGTATAGTTTTATGGCTGCATGATTACTCCACAAGTAGTAATCCCAGGGTTCTAGCTGCGTACTTTATTGATGAAGTGAAAAACCGGAGCGGAGCTCCAACATGTATCGGGAAAGACCTCAGAACAGAGAACTGTTCAGTGGAACCGATGCAGATATTTTTAAGAAGTAATGATGAAGACCGGTTTTCTGAGAGATGCTACTTTACTGGCTTAAATAATCATGACCAAATATATAGATAAGATCTCGTTATTATTAGATGTTGTTTAAATATTAATAAATATGTAAAAATGGATGAAAGCATCACTGTCCCCGTTTCCTATTTTAATTCTGATGATATGTATTTATTTTTCTCTAGGAACTGGAAATGTCCCTAGATTTGATTTCAGAAATCTGGCCACCTTAACCCAGAGAGAAGCGACACATGCAGAGCGTGAACATGAATACAGCCGGGGATTGAACCAAGGACCTTTTCCCTCCAAAGTAACAATGACATAAACTGCTCTACTATGCCCCCCCCCCATATTTGATATGAAGTGATGACTTCATATCAAATATTCATCTCTGCCATCAACTGAAGGTTTTATTTACATGATGCTGGACAGAAAACAAAATGCTTAACAGAAGCTGCAAACTAACTATAAATACAAATGTTTAAAATAAAAGGGAGTTTATTCATATGGAGAACCAGCTCTACCATATTTATACATAAATGCTCAATAATAAATAAGCATATAATTAATTGCCCCCATAAAATGCTGACTAACCAATGGGCA